AGCGGAGGACTGTCGACTTCCGCGTGCGCCTCGGAATGAAGGCTGGTCACTCGCGAAGAAACCAGTTCCGACGGCGTCGAGAGTGTTGTCACGTCACTCTCGGCGGTGCTCAGGCAATAGTGGAATCTCTCGCGCACTTTGTATGCGGACTCGGAGATGCCATACGGGGTCCATGGGCCTGTCTGAGCTGCTGCACCGGATCGGGGCTAGAAACGGTGTGTGTCTTCGTCTTGCCGCGCCCTCGGCCTCTGCCGGTGCAGCCACCTTCCCGGGCGGCTGCGAATCTGTCTCCTTCACTGGCAGATGCAGCCTCGCTGGTTTGGTCTAGCGGCGTTGCGGCTGCGACCACGGCCACTCTTGGCCGATGCTGGTCCCTACTCGGGCCTGACACAGATGAACGGAGGTTCTTGGCCTCCTTGTTCGTGACGATGATCTGCGCAGCCTTGTCAAATAATTCCGCCGTCGTCGTCAAGGTATCCTCGACATGCGTCAGGGCATTGCTCAATGCCGGACATGACCTTGAGATGAAGTAGTGGCGGATGGCCTTGAAGCCCATCTGGATGTCTGGGATTGACGTCAAGCGTTGGTACTCGGCGATCCAGTCCGTACTCGGCAGCGTGCCTTGCTCGAAGACCATGAGCTTGTCCATGGCTTTGATCTCTGGCGGCTCCACCTGGAACCGCATGTGCCATGCCGCCTTCAGATCATCCCAGGTGATCTTGGTGTGCAAGTCGTTAGCTACCACTCCGTACTTGGACAACAGGTTGTCCAACCAAGCCTGACACGCGCCCCCTGAGCGAGAGTACAAGTAGGCATGATGCTTGTGTTCCTTGACATTGTGGAGCTGCAGCGTGAGCTCGAAGTTGCGAAACCATGGAATCGGATATATCTTCATGGCGTCGCAGAAGATCTCCTGCCCGTCAAACTTTGGAGTTGACTCGCGAGGCTCCCAACTCGAGGTAGTGGCGGTGGTATAGACCCGCTGCTGCAACTGTTGCGTCGCAGTGAGCTGTAACTGTGCGCCATCCTGGAGTGAGTCGACGTGCATCTCCAAGGCACTGAGGCGGTCGGCAGTATTGGACGAGCCTGCGTCGGCGGCGGCGACTGGTCGCTGCTCCAACCGCTGAAAACGGTCTTGGAGCTGAGCTAGCGATCTGTCGAGACCAAGGATCTCTGCCTGCTGTGTAATGCAGGTTGCCAGGAGATCCGTGAGATGCGAGAGGAGGAGCGCTATCTTGTTTGCGNGCGATCTGTCGAGACCAAGGATCTCTGCCTGCTGTGTAATGCAGGTTGCCAGGAGATCCGTGAGATGCGAGAGGAGGAGCGCTATCTTGTTTGCGCTGTCCTCCAACTGGTTATTCTCGACCTCGGTCCGACATTCCGCTGCCATGGTAAGTAACGCCCGCTCTCCGGTAAATATTTTCTCACGACGCTGGACTCTTTCCTCATCGGCAGCCCTTGCTGCTGCCTCGTCATGCTGGCGCTGTTGTTCAAGTGCCAGCAGACGTGCCTGCTCGGCATCTTCTGCCTTCTTCTTCGCTGCTGCTGCAGCGTCATCTGCCCGTTTCTTAGTCTCGGTACTCCAGGCTAGCATGCGGGCCTGATAGGCCTCGTCTGCTTCCCCCGGCCTCTGGTCCATGACTGCTGTTTGAGATCGCAACAGCATAGACCGGGCGGGGGGGGCCTGTTGATGTGGTATCCCTTGCTGCTGACGTGGCACTGCTGACGTGTCCTGCTGACGTGGTCTGCTGACGTAGCCTGCTGACGTGCTAACTCACCAATGCCGCCGCAGGGGGTACCCGGATACCAACAGAAACGGAAAGGCGAGAGATGGCAACAACATAGGTGGGGAGGGGTGGGTGGGATAATCGCCCGACCAATCACTTAGATAAGGAGCCACTAATCAAACAAGAAAAGTTTGAACTTTGCAAAAAATTTCGAGAAAAATAATTAAAAAAATCCCGATTTTTGCAAGTTCGGTAGGTCTCCCAACCTCCCTTGAAGTGCGAAATGATCACT